TCCCTCAGCAGATGTAGCTTAGTAGTTTTTGCTTTTTTTGTAAAAACATTTTTGTAATTGATTGTTTACGAATTTATAAAATTTTTGAAGTTATTTTGATCTTTGGTTGTTATTTTTGTTTCAAGTAAATCACTTCAGATGAAATGAAGTGACTTTAATTAACACAAAGAATTGTCCTCGGACATAGTAAAACGACTAGCCAAGGAATTGACTTCGGACATACACGAGGCAGACCTCAAACAAATGAGAGGAGATGAAGTAAATCACACCATAAGGAAAATGTAATTGAAGAAATCGTATCCCAGAAAATGAAGGGATTGCATAAGCCATAAGGAATTAACTTCCAATGTACAGAAGAGAAAGAATTGAATTACTTCGAATGTGAAGTGAACTTCATTAATGGGATATATGAAATGAGTTGCGAGATACAGTAATCAGAATAATAGTGATTATAGAAACAAGACAAAGTTCACTGGAAAGAAGCGTATTAAGGGTAAAATTTCTTCAAGTTATTGACATTCCAGACTCTGGGAACCCTTTTGCCTTCAGTGTCTCGTAGGATATAAGCGCCTGGGTGCGGCACTTCGGCGACAGTGTAGGGGCCTTCCCAGTTTGGTGCTAACTTTCCGAATCGAGTTTCGAACCCCGTTAGACCAGCTTTCCTGAGAACAAGGTCTTCTACGTGGAATGTTCAGGGTCGAACTCGTTTGTTGTAGAAGTTTGCTATCTTCTGCTTGTAGACTAGAGTTCGAAGTCGTGCTTCTTCTCTAACGTCATCAAGCAAATCAAGGTTCTCCCGAAGCAGTTGTCTATTTCATCCTTCATCGAAATGGGTAACCTTGAAGCTCGGGACTCCTATCTCGATAGGAATGACTGCTTCGGTTCCGAAGGCCAGATGATAAGGTGTTTCGCCTAATTCAGTTAATTATAACTTTAGAATGCGCTTTACGCGTTATGCATATTTGCTCTAAGGTAAAGCCGTAGCAGAAAAAGTAAAATAATATAGAAAAATTAATCAAGTAGGCCAGGTTTGGAGTAATACCTGTGGCAGTTCGGCTCGTGGTTCTGTACGCCCAGAGGACGTTGTTGAGGTCGTCTGCCCATTTGGCCTTATGCTGTTCTAATCTCGGCTTTATACCTTCTAAAATGCATTTGTTAACAGATTCGACCATGCCGTTGGACTCTGGATGGTAAACCAAGGTGACCTACAGTTTAATCCCGTAGCTGGAACAGAAATCTCGAAAAGAGGTGCAGTTAAATTGAGTTCCATTATCAGCCATAATCTGATTCGAGATCCCATATCTGCAGATGATTGAGCTGAAAACAAAGTCTTCAACCTTCTTGGAAGTAAGACTGGATAACGGCCGAGCTTCAACTCATTTTGTGAAATAGTTTACACCAACAATTAGGTGGGTTACACCACCAACAATTAGGTGGGTTACACCACCAACCCCTTTCACGAACGGACCCAAAAGATCCAATCCCCACTGAGCAAATGGCCATGGTGCTACCAGAGTAGTGAGCTCTTCTGCAGGCTGGTGAGTCAGGTGCGCAAAGAACTGGCATTTCAAGCATCTCTGAACAAAGTGGGTGGCATCTTTGTACATGTTCGGCCAGTAATATCCCTGCCTTAAGACTTTGTGGGCCAGAGTTCTAGCACCAACGTGGCTCCCACAAACACCTTCATGTACCTCCCGAAGTGCGTACTCAGCTTCGTAGGGATTTAAACACCGCAAAAGAGAGAGTGAGAAAGATCTCTTATAGAGGACCCCGTCAATGAGTGTGTACCGAGATGCTTTCTTCCGCAACTTCATTGCCTCCTGCCTGTCCTCAGGTACTATCCCGTCTCATAAGAAGGAGAGGATTGAGTCAGTCCAGCTCGGTGTGCCTGGGTCTGTGGTGATCTCCATCACCCGTGGCTTCAGGAAGCTTGGTTCATCTAAGACCTCCACAAAAACTGATCTGGAATGTGAAGAACTGTCCGAGGCAAACTTGGAGAGTAATCTGCCTGTTCATTCTCGGTTTTGGGAATCTTGCTCAAACAAAACTTCTGGAATTTGCACTTTAGCTCAGCCACTAAGGCTACATATTTCACCATTACAGGATCAACGACTTCGCAGATTGAGTTGGTCTGATTCACCACCAGCTGGGAGTCACTCTATACTTGGATCGCATCGATTTTTAACTCCAAGGCTAATTGCAGACCAAGTAGCAGAGCTTCATACTTAGCCATGTTGTTTGTTGCATCAAAGTTAAATTTCAGAGCATGCTCACTCCGATATCCATCTGGGCCAATCAAGAGAACGCCAGCTCCTGAACCTTTACTACTAGAGGCCCCATCGACATATAAGATCTAGTCATTGAGCTCCGGAGTAGGAATGGAATCACATGGAGTGCACTCTACAATAAAATCTGCCAGTGCCTGAGCTCGGATTGTAGATCTCTGCTGAAACGTTATCTCAAATTCCCCCAGTTCTACTGCCCACTTAATTAACCTTCCAGAACACTTAGGCTTTTGCAGAATTTGTCGAAGGGGTTGGTCTGTAAGGATAATGATTGGGTGTGACTGGAAATATGGCCTCAACCTTCTGGCCGAAGTGACAACTGCTAAAGCTACTTTCTCAGCTATAGGATACCTCAGCTCGGCTCCATGCAGCACACTGCTGATATAATATATTGGTTTCTGCTGCTTGGCTTCTTCCCTTACCAGAACCGAACTAATGGCTTCATCCGAAATTCCCAGATACAAATAGAGGATTTCTCCATCTTTGGCTTTAGTCAGCAGAGGTGGCGAGCTAAGATAAGACTTCAGCTCGTCGAATGCGGCTTGGCATTCCTGAGTCCACTCAAACTTCTTCTGTTTACCTGATTCGTCCTTCTGGGCGGCTGACCTCATAATCTTGAAGAACAGTAGGCACTTATCTGCTGACTTTGATATGAACCGATGAAGAGCTGCTACCCTCCCAGTCAACCTTTGTATATCTTTCACTAACTTCGGTGGTTCAATCTCGGCAATTGCTCTTATCTTCTCTGGATTGACCTCAATCCCTCTCCGGGAAACCATGAAACCCAGGAATTTTCCAGACGCCACGCCAAAGATGCATTTGGCTGGGTTTAACCTCATTCTATTCTGTCTGAGATTGTTGAAAGTCTCCTCAAGGTCGGTTAAGTGATCGTCGGCCTTCAAACTCTTTACCACTATGTCGTCAACATAAACTTCCAGATTCCGTCCTATCTGAGCTCGGAATACGATGGTAACCATCGTCTGGTAAGTGGCACCTACGTTCTTCAAGCCGAAGGGCATCATTACATAGCAATAGATCTCATCGCCTGCATAGAACGAGGTTTTTTCTTCATCCTCAGGAGCCATTGGGACCTGGTGGTAGCTTGAGTATGCATCCAAGAGACTTAACCTCTCGTTTCCAGAAGCTGCCTCGACCAGTTTATCAATGTTTGGCATCGGATAACAATCATTGGGGCAGGCTTGGTTAAGATTCGTGTAGTCGATGCACATCCGCCATTTTCCATTTGCCTTCTTCACCAAAACTGGATTAGCCACCCATTCACAATAATCAACTTTTCTGACAAACCAGCTTGTAGGAGTTTCTCTACCTCTTCCTTTATGGTCTGAAGCCTTTCTCCCCCGAAGAGACGTCGCTTCTGGGCCACTGGTTTCTTCAATGGATTGGTGCTGAGTTTATGTTGAGATACCGAATTGGGAATTCTTGGCATGTCTGCCGAAGTCCATGCGAAGACATCACTGTTAGCTCGGAGAAAAGCTATCAGCTCTGATTTTTCCTCCGAGTTCAACCGAGTTCCAATTTGTGTTTTGCGGCTTGGATCTCTATCATCAACGGGCACTTCTTCAACATCTTCAACTGGAGCAGCTCTGGTTTCATCTTCCGGTCAATTATCTACTATCTCAACACCCATAACTTGCTGATTATCAGGAATTCGTTGGGGGATGACCTCAGGTGTCTAATCTTTGCCCTTCTTAGGTTGTGTTACCGAGGTTATATAGCAGTGTCTAGCCATCTCCTGGTTGCCTCGCAAAGTTGCTATTCCCATAGGTGTTGGGAACTTCATGCAGAGGTGAGACTGGAAAACTACAGCTCGAATTTCAGTTAATGTGGGTCGGCCGATAACAACGTTAAAAGAGGATGCCATCTTGACTACCAGAAATCAGACTGAAGGAGTCACATAGGTGTGGCCTCGCCCAAAAGCAACATGGAGCGTAAGAACTCCTTCCACTTGAACTGGCTGGTTGTTGAAACCATAAATGGGGCCATCATATCTCTGCAATAATGCCGGATCTAGTCCCAGACTCTCAAAATAGTGGAAGTACATAATGTCTGGTGCACTCCCAGTGTCAACAAGGACACGTTGCACCTCACAGTTGTTAATCAGGACGGAAGTGACCAAAGGATCATTGTGGGGTGTAACAACTGTGTCGAAGTCAGCAGATGTAAAAGTGATGGGTTGATTCTTCCACTCAGCATCGTCAAACTTCCGTTTCTGAGCTTGGCTCTGATGTTTAACCTCTCTGACATACAGCTTTCATTGTTTAGAGCTCAGTCCACCTGCTTCCAAGCCTCCCGTAATCATATGTATAATTCTGGCTGGCGGGGGTAGTGGAGGTGGGGCTTGTTGATGCCCTACCCCTTGCCTGTTTGGTGGATTACGGACTCCTTGGGGTTGTGGCCCATGTTCTCTGACAAACCTTGGCTGTTCAGCCCTCTGGATGTACTCATTCAACAATCCCTTCTGAGCCAAACTTTCCAGTTCGGACCGCAAACTGTTGCATTGTTTTGTGGTATGACCGTGATCCTAATGAAAATCACAATATCTGGTATGGTCGCGGCTAACAACGGTAGTTTTCATTGGACCAGGACGCCTTAAGTCCATCTTGTTCTTAATCTGCATGAAAATCTGTGACCTCGGCAAGTTAAATGGGGTCCAAGTAACTGGAGGTTTACCTGCAGACTGCTGTGGGGGTGTGGAGTTCGGCCTTCCGAATCTCGGTATGGAGGTCGACATCGGACCTCGGTTCTGTGCTGTCCTCATCCGTTTCCTGCTCGGATTCTCATCTCTCCAATCTGGGTTATGGCTTTTGGAGGGAATTGAGTTCTGCGACAGGGCATATTCCTCAGCAGTTATAAATTTCAGAGACCTGTCATTCACCTCAGTAAAGGTGGTGGCAGGGTGTTTGAGCAAACTATCCCTGAATCTCTCATGGCTAAGACCAGAGATCACAGCTGTAATTCCAATAGCCTAGTCGAAGGAGTTAACCTCCAATACTGCATCATTAAATCTGCTCATATAATTCTTCAAAGATTCACCATCCCTCTGTTTGACTCGCATCAACTCAGAAGTAGTTTTCCTGATCAACCTTCTACTGGAAAACTTAGTGGCAAAAGCAGATGCCATTTCTGTATACGAGCTGATTGACCTCGGAGGTAGACTATAATACTAAGTTCGAGCATTACCCCGGAGGGTAGAGGGAAAAATTTTGCACATCAACGCGTTAGAGGCGTTCTGAGCTTGCATGCATGAGTAAAAAGCATGTAGATGATCATCGGGATCCTTCATCCCATCATAAGTCTCAAGTTGTGGTATCCTGAAGCCAGCGGGATAAGGTTCCAGAGTGATGTTGGTGTTCAGGGGGTGAGGTATGGAGTCAGCAACATGGTGTGGAGGGGGGACACCTCGCTGTTCAGCCACCAGCTTTTCTAAGCTGTCCAATCGTTGAGAGACATCATGATGAGGGGGTTGTTGAGCTGGTGCTACATGAGATTGACCCTGGGATTCACTAAGAGCAGGAGCATGCTGAATTGGTTCAGGGTTTTGCTGTGGGGCCAGGGGTTGTGGAGCAGGGTTGAGTAAATTGATGAGGGGGTCACCAGGGTTGTTCCGGGCCAAGAGCTGAGCCAATTCTAGCTTAAAAACACTAAATTGTTGTTGCATGTTAGCGAGCTGAACTGCAACTATGTCTTGGTTGGCAGCGGAAACTGAGTTATGGGCTGAGTTGTGTGGTTGGTGTTCCTCTTCTCC